GGAGGGGCCCAGGTGGTGCCGGGAGGGCCTTGGAAGGTCAAATTAGGCTGTAGGTGGAGGAACATGAGGCCTGGGTGGCCTTGGGGGTCAGGCAGAGAGTCTGGGCCAAGGTCTCATCCCTCTGGGATAAAGGGCCGAATCAGCTCCGGGTTCAACAACGAGTCTTCAAGAGGCCAGTCCACGTGGAAGTCATGGACATGAGGGGGTCCTGGGTGGGCCTTGGGGGCAGGTCCCCCTGGGCGCTGGGGAATTGGTAGCTCCGAGGGGTGGGCAGGCAGGGGAGCTGTGAAGAAGTACTGGTGCAGGAGGGCCTGGGGGGCAAGGAAGGGAGAGCAGAAGGATCTCAGAAGGAAACAAGTCACCCGTCTCTGCTTCAGTTACTCCCCGAGTGGGGAAACTGCGCGCTCTGCCCTTCAGAGGCCTGGGATGACTGACTGATTCTTTCATCTACTCATTCATTCAGCCAGTTCAACAAGCATTTATTGAGTGCCTACTGTATATAAAGCACTGTCCAGTGGCTAAGGATACAACAGTTAACCATACAGACAAAAAGCTCTGCCTTTGTGAAGGTTCTAATATAGCCAAGGGCAGGGGATGGGAGAGACAAGATAAAGAAGTGAAACATGTAGTAGGTCAGATGGTGATTAGTGTTGTGGAAAAGACAAAGCAGAAGAATGAGAAAGACTGGAGAGGTAGAAAATGTGAAAAGCAGTGAGGGAAGGCCACACCGAGAGGGGACACTGGGGCAAAAACCCGAGAGGAGTGCCGTGAGTCACAAGGACACCTGGAGAGACAGTGTTCCAGGCTGAGGGAACAGCAAGCGTGCAGACCCGGCGAGGGGCAGCCCTGATGAGCTTCAGGACCATTAAGGAGGCCCTGTGGCTGCAGAGGAGAAAGCAAAGGGGAAGGAAGCAGGCAGGCTCAGAGGGGATGGCGCCAGAGCGTGTCACTCTCGTGGGACACTAGGACCCTGGCCTTTACTAAGATGGGAGCCGCTGGCAGGCTCTGGGCAGAGGAGTGACGTGATTTGTTCTGTTTGGACGAGGTCACTCTCCCCACCAGGTAAAGAATATATAAATGGGGCAAGGGGAGAAATAGCTATTCTGGTCAGTTATCCAGGAGACAGTGGCTTGGACTAGGGTGGCAGCAGGAAAGGACTGAGCGGTCAGATGGCCTTGGTACATTTTGAAGGCAGAACCAGCGGGAGCTGCGGGTAGTAGAAAGTGCTAACAATGGGGACTGAACAGAGGCGCGCACAGAAGGCAGGGTTGGTGTGGCGTTTGTGAGGGGGCAGGATGGTCATCAGGGTGAAGGAAGGTTCACCTGAGAAGCCCCAACACCTGTCCAGTCGTCCGTCTGCCCTCCTCACCCACCTTCCCTGCCTTCCAGCCACAATGAACCTCTACTGGGTGTTCCTCTCCAGGCCTGTGCTCAGCCAGTTCTTTCCTCTTAGGACGCCCTTTACTCATTTCTTTGACAAACGCCTCCTCATGCTTATACTTGCCCTCCTCCAGGAAGCCTTGCTTGAGCCCCAAAGTTGGTCGCGGCCACGCCCCCTCCCTGCCTCCCTCAGACTGGTGGCCTCTCTCTGACCACACTCCAGTGACTGTGTCTGGGTCTGCCTTACCACAGGCCGGCGAGCCTATAGGGGCAGGGAACACGTCTGCTTGTTCACTGGTCTTTGCCCAGGACGGGGCAATGCCTGGCAGGTGCCAGATACTCCACAGATGTTTGTAGAGGAAATGAAGGAATGAGCTCTCAATC